ATCGAAAATTTCAGTCAAGAAAGAGAGCAAAGGAGAGTTGGTGATCTCTTGAACAAATCACCTTTTAGGGCGGCAAGATAGGTTCTTCAAGAAAAGCGAGGAACAAGGGAAAACAGGAGGTTTTCCCCGTGGACCGACCCGTGACGAGATCCTATTCCCGGGCCCATAACACTTGGGGAGATGGAAGGAGGACCTGGGAGATTGGCTAACTACCTTGACAAGGCTAGAGATCTGTTACAATACTTGAATGCATCTTTAATCTAGATTCCTAGGAATTTAAACTCTGTAGCAGATAATTTAGCTAAGTTTGGTGCTCACAGGGTAAACTTTTATAGTAATAGTATAATGCCTTTGTAACTTGTGTGCGACTATCCTTTTTGTGTCCTTTTGTACATCATCTCATGTACTCTCTTTTTTCTCTTCAATAATATATAAAATTACTCTTTTTCTCAAAAAGAATCAATGAAAAGGATCCCTCCCTTTGAAGGAAGGGTCTCTATTTATAGGTGAAGAGGGATGCCCATATGTGCATGGAATGAAGGATTCCTGAACTTCCATAAGGCGATTTTAAACTCAGATCCCTAGGCTGATTTGATAAGGACACACATCGGATCGTAGAGTGGGGACCAACTATTGGCCCGTGTATGCTGTTGTTATCACCCTCTCACGATCTTACCACGTGTCGTGTGTGGGAAGCTTTTGCAGGGTGCATGTGCTTTACAACACCTTGCTTTTCTATCCGTGGGTCTGCGCAGGCTTTCTCTGCAGAATTACAATCTATTAGATGTTATAGTGGCCAGCCACAATTAGTGGCCTGGCATTCTCTAAAAATAGTGTTGTGGTGAGTAACCACGGCTTTCTTGGAGACGAGCATGTTTGTGTGTTTGCAGTTCAGGATATTCTTCTGTGTTACTATGTGAACATGCAAGTCCATCCTCTTACACTCTAAATCTTCTATTGTAGTTTGATATGCCTGTGTTGATTTTTCTTAGGCCTAGAAGTATTTCCCTTAGGTAGCTGAATAGGACACTTAGTGATGATGTGTCCTTATTGCTTGTAGTAGGAAACTGAGTCAGTCCTGAAAGGGAATGTACAAGGTCAAAAACCAAGAAGATGAGTTTAAAAATCCTCCTGAATATGGTTCAATCACCGAACAAGTGAAATAGGAAGGAAAAGAAGGCTAGAGTGCTACCAAATTTGTGATTTCACAAAGATCTAATCAGGCATAGGTGAGATCTAGCCCATGAAGTGAGATCTGTATCTCATTTTCTTCAGGAAACTAGCAGATATTGATTGATTGAAACAGTCCCTGAACAGCAGCAATGCCTTCTGAGATACTAGCCAAAGCCGTCCTCTAAAGTTCCTTAGGGAGAGCTTCCAATAGAAGAATCAAATACCTTTAGCAAGTCAAATGAATTGAACCTGATCTCGTAACAGTCCCTGAACAGCAGCAATACCTTCTGAGATAATAGCCAAAATAGACCTCTAAAGTTCCTTAGGGAGAGCTTCCAATAGAAGAATCAAATACCTTTAGCAAGTCAAATGAATTGAACCTGGTCTCGAAACAGTCCCTGAACATCAGCAATACTTTCTGAGATAATAGCCAAAACAGTCTAAAGTTCCTTAGAGAGAGCCTCCAATAGTGGAATCAAATACCTTTAGCAAGTCAAATGAATTGAACCTGGTCTGATGCTATGTGAGAAGCAGTTTGAAGAAGACAGATAATTGAATGGGTGTGTCAAGTGATGCACATGCCCAAAGAAAAATTTATATATTAATGAGGTACAAAGTGAGAAAGGACAGTTCTGCCCTTCTCTTACAAAGATAAAAAGATGTATATACAAGTATGATACACTATGTAAGTACGTAATATAACAATGATCCCAAAAGGAATCAGTACGAAGATTCTCTACATGAATGCCTTATTTTTCTTTTCTTCTGTCCCTTTTAGTTTGACATTATATTTTTTATTTCCAGTGTGTCTGCACTTCTGATGATGGTAACGTTGAAGAAACTCGCAAGCACAGGCTGCACCCTTATTTTCACTATGTACCAAAGCAGCACAGAAGTATTTGGCCTTTTCGATCGGATTTGTCTCCTTTCAAATGGAAATACACTATTTTTTGGAGAAACACTGGCATGTCTGCAGGTGACTTGTCCTGTTGGTCTGATGCATTATATCTCCTTCTATCTAGAAAGAAAATCCAACAAAGCATTATATGATATTCTATATAAAATGCATTATATAACCTATATAAATTTTTTGTTTATTTGTATTTATTTATTTCTTTATTTATGTTTTGGAGGAAATTAACTTGACACTGTTTTGTTAATGTAGCACTTCTCAAATGCTGGATTTCCTTGCCCAATAATGCAAAGCCCCTCTGATCACTTTCTACGCGCAATAAATACAGATTTTGACAGGATCATAGCCATGTGCAAAAACTGGCAGGTATTTATTTATTTATTTTTTGTGGGGGAGAGCAGTGTTTCAATTTAAAACCTTTTCCTTCCTCTTCTTTTCTGCAAGTAAGGTTTTGAAATCCCTAGCTCTACTCCTCTACTGCTATTATCCCTCATCATCCACATACAAGTTGACCATTATAGCCAATTATTTGTATCACTGGTAACTTTCTTTAATTGCAATAAAATTTCTACACTTACAACAGTGACTTTGTGGTGGGGTCATCATTCTCCCTTGTTTCTTGCTGCTGGAAGTTAAAATAAGTGGGAAAATATTCAAAAGAAAGTTAAGCAAGAGCAGAAGAATAATTGTACAAGATGGTTGGTGGGTTGCAATTGTGTAGATTCCTTTTATATGGCCCTGAGACTCTTGCAACTTCATAAAAGAAGCTAGGGCGTCAGCATCTAGAATAATTAATTTTTCAGGTGGTTTCCTATATAAGTCAATGACCTTGCAGATTCCCATGCTAGAGAGGGGTTAGGGTTGGGGAGGGCTGGCCAGTTTTGGGGTGCTCATGATCGGGAGGGTAACAACAATTAACCGATGTTTCTAAAGAAAGGCCAGAAAAAGAGGGTAAGAAAGAAGTTAAATTAATAGTATTTGCTCTTCTTTTATTAAATTTTAATGAATTTTCAGTTATTTATCAAAAAAAAAAACTTAAACTAACATTTTTGTGAACCTTTGGGCTATAATACATATGTGCAGTATGTTTATATACTCATGTACATGTATGTCTAGGTTGATGGTCTGAACAGTCAATTTGGTTTTCAAAACATTGGTTAAACCCAATATCTTTCCTCCATTGGGTCCTAACTGCATCTCATATGCAACTGATGTTTTTCTCTTTTCTTTGTGTGTGCATGCATTCATATGTTTCTTTTGTAAATGATTCACCTACTCATGACAGAAAGGTAACACTCTTGACAGGATGACCATGGGGATTTTTCATCCGTAAATATGGACACTGCAGTAGCAATACGTACCCTTGAAGCAACGTACAAATCATCCAGTGATGCTGCTGCAGTTGAATCTATGATAGCAAGACTCACAGATAAGGTGCAATTTATCACCCTTATAAATTCATTTCCTTGTTAGCGTTGAATTGTTTTTAGTAGCTAAAGTTGTGTGCAAAGTAGCTTGAAGTACTAAGCACTCTTAATTATATTTAGAAGTTTTCTGCGAAGTGGAAAAAAGTTGCATTAGCTTGTTCAAGATTATAAAGTTGTAGAAATCTTTGTTTGCTTCTTGTGGCTCTATCTGTGGTTGGAATTGATTTTTTTAATGATGTCTTATGGATCTCTTGTTAGAGGCTGGCAACTATTGTAGTCCATGTAAGAGAAATAGGTTGAAATATTTCATTAGCTCTATTTTTCATTGTCCCAGAGATAGTGTGGACAAGTGGATGGAAAAGACCTTGAAGCATCTTTAAGGCTGAGCTTTACTTCCCTTTTCTTGAGAAGCTTGTAAGGACCCCACCAATGATACATCATCCCCAACCTGCACATATTGTAAATTTTGTTGTAAACATATGAACAATATATGGAACATATGCGTTCATGTATAATCATATTGGCTAAATGTGTTTATTAGGAAGACTTATAAGAAAGAAACCCGTGTTGCATTTAGCATGTTTACTTATTTGCTTTTTAGGGTCATTTCTTAAATTATTTTTACAGGAAGGTCCAATTCTTAAGAGCAGGGGCAAGGCTAGCAATGCTACAAGGGTAGCGGTTTTGACATGGAGATCATTATTAATTATGTCAAGGGAATGGAAGTACTTCTGGCTTCGGCTGGTTCTCTGCATGTTTCTCACACTATGTGTTGGTACGATATTTTCTGGCCTAGGGCATTCCTTGTCATCTGTAGTGGTGAGTGTTCTCCCCTCCCAAAAGGATGAATGCATTAATTGCATTGAGCTCAGAGTTAACTCTTGATATTTGTGTATATGGACAATGTGTTCATGCATGTAAATACATCAAGAATAACATCTAAGAAGGTCCCAAGTTCCAACTATACATGTTACTCTATGTTTTTATTTCCTTATTTTTGATATTCCTTCCAGATTTCATCTTAACAGTTTCAGCATTCCATATAATTAAAATTTTTGTTGTTTCTTTCTTTATTGTGCTTCCATGAGAGTATGTGGCAGTGTAGCTCTTAATATTATTTTTCTTTCTATGCTACAAGTCTACCCCACATTGTTCTTCTCCAATACTTGAAAACTTGAAAACTATTAGTACTATTTTTATTGTCTTTTGTCTCCGAGTTGTGGGTCATGGGTTTGACCGTTTAGGTAGAATGGGCCATACTGTGCCAGACCAGTACATATAATATAACTATATATTTTTAGTTATAAACACATTTTATTAATAAATAATGTACTAATTATATTGTGCATGTAATATATGCATTATTTTATGTTTAATTCATATTTCTAAATCAGGTTTTTACTTTTTATTTGTAAAAAATGCTAAAAATTTTAATTTAAGACCGAAAAAAGATTTTTTTTGGCAAAAATAGCAGTGCAAGGTGCCTTTGGCGCCTTGGGATGCATAGATCTCAAAAAGTTACCCAAAAAAGAAAAAGATCACCCCAATCAGACATCCAAGCGCAAAGTAATGGCCTCTAGATGTTTGTATGCACATTTAATGTACAACCCATAATTGAGTGACTGGATTAAACAGGTCAATGGTTCACCCTGAACCAGCTGATAAATTTGGAGAACTCTTTTCTTTGTGTTGTGCACCTGAAGGGGGAAATTTGTGTCAGAGCAGTTCATACAAGAGAGAACGCAGCAGATTTGGGGTGTGTCACATTATGGTGACCACACCAAGAAAGAACTATTTATATTAAAGAATGTAAAAAGACACTTCTGTCCTTGTAGAGCAATAAGTTATGTACAAGAAATAAAGAATAGAAAATTACTGATTCAATAAGAAAGTAAAATTACCATTCAGCCCTCACTATCACTATCTCTACAATTTGGGTGGAAAGAGATGTAGACTGGCTGGCTTGAGTTCTAGGTAGGGAACTTGTAAGGCCTTTAGAGCATGGGAGCTGTTGTGTGGTTTATCTTGCTGTTGAGGCAAAGAACTTGAAGGACATTAAGGCAAGGTCAGTGATTTAAAAGGCATGCCAGATGCGCAGGTGAGGTGCATTTTAAGGTATGTGCCTCACCTAGCCCCCAGGCGCAACACTTTCAAAAGGCGTGTGCCTGATTGTACCTGCTGCACGTTGTGCTTAACCCTAGGTGTGCACCTGTTGAAAATTTGTGCATTTTTTTGGTTTTTTATGACTAGTGGCTGGGCCGGGGGCAAAGCCCCTGGATCCCCGACAAGCCTCTTGAAACCCAAACAAGTCCATATTTTTCTGGGTCAATTGGAATAGGAAACTCATTGAGAGCTGAGATTCTAACAGCTTTGGAAGGGATTCAAAGGGCTAAGGATTTGCACATAAACAAGCTGATCATAGAAGGAGACTCTGAGACTGTAGTGAACTGGTTAAATGAAGACAACTCAAGATTATGGAGCTACAGCAATGAAAAGAGGAAATACAATTGGTTGACCAAGGACATGGAAGTTCAATGCACATGGATAAAGAGAAGTGCAAACTTTTGTAATTTGGGTGTTTAGTGGCAGTTGTTGGGAGTTAAGATATTTTATCTCCCTTTCTATGTATTTCCATTCCTCAATCAATTAATGAAATCTCTGTTATTGATAAAAAAAATTAGTGTCTTGAATTCTTAATCCCCTCGAAGCTTTGAAAACCCCATATTAGTATCTTAAATTCTTAATCCCCTTGAATTTGTTTTATATGTTATGCTTGATTTTATTTTAAAATTTTCATTTTAAACATGTTTTACATGTTATGTTTATGTATTTTAATTTGAGATAATAGGTTTTTAATTTTCTTTTTTGATTTTTTGGCATTTTTTTTGAAAATTTTAGTTTTTTTTGTTGCATTTTGCTCCTTGCTTTGAAAAGGCATATGTCTCACCTTGCACCTCATGTGTCAGGCGCAAAATGCCACTTGTGCTTTTTTTTGCGCCTTGTGCTCTTAAAACACTGGGCAAGGTTTGATGAAGGGTTTGTAGGTTGTTTTTTGCAAAGGCAAGGCTTTACTGTGAACAGAAGCTTGGTTTAAATTAATATCCCTGATTTAGATTTATGGGGGTAAGGGATCTTGCAGACTTACTGAGCTAATAGAGTTAGATACTTCCCAATGAATTCGGTTTCAAAACTGAAGTTTGTTCCAAGTGGCAAAACTTGTTGTTATCAGGCTATGAGCCTATGATGGCTTCCATCATGAATTTCTTATAATAATGAGTTATTTTATTTCATTTTTGGTTCATGGGGCTACACAACGGGATAGCCCCCCTTCCCTCCCATTCCCAACCCTGGTGGCAGTGGGATGTGATCCCAAGTCTGCTACAATGAGCATGCTTCTTAAAAAAACTTTTTTTTAAATTTTTTTGGTGGTTCATTTGTTTGGCATATTTAAAATTTTTGAATGTTTTGGAGGATGCCAACCATTTTTACTCATTTTATTGGCATATTGCCAAGTTATTTCTGTATATTATATTTTGTGTCATTTACCATGTTCATTTCCTTTATTCTATGCTTCTTATGGTTGCAGGTGAGAGTTGCAGCAATATTCGTATTTGTATCATTCACTTCCTTGCTAAGTATTGCTGGATTACCTTCTCATCTAACAGACATAAAGGTAAATCATGTCTGTGTTTTTTCTCACTCCCCTCCCCCCTCCTTCAGATTGGTAGCAATGAAACAAAAAAGATGTTAATAAGAGAGAAATAGAGGGGGTCTCCCAATGTTGAAACTATTGTTATTCAGATTTTCAGTAACATTTCCTGTATGTTTCCCCTCTCAATGTTGGCTTAAGGAAGCATGGAACTACTCAATACATCATGTCATTCCAAGAATTCTATTCACTGTTTTTTTTTATCAGCACCACAAATTGATTCGTTATATTAAAAGAGCATATACAACAAGAAGTTGTGGGCGGAAAACAAAAAGCCCAAAAGAAACTATCCCATTAATTATAAAACAGCCCAGAACATAGATTGTCTTTGAATCCCTTGTTTAGCTAGACCATCCGCCATGTGGTTAGCTGATCTCCTAATCCACCTTATTTGTACCAACATGTCTTTAGATATCTGCTTGAAGCGCCTGAGCTCATTCCTTAGCTTCCATATTACTCCTTCCCCCTTCTTCAGCCAATTCACAACAATTGTTGAATCCCCTTCAATAATCAGCCTGTGAATCCCCATTTCTTTAGCTTTTTCTACTCCATACACTGCTGCCATCAGTTCTGATCTCACCACATCACCATGCTGAACAGGACTTGAGTACATGGCTAAAATATTTCCATCCTTGTCCCTTATTACCCCACCAATACCCGATGGGCTAGGATTTCCCAAACAGCTATCATCAAAATTTAATTTCTTCCACCCAGCAGTTGGAGGAGACTCAGACCTCATGTACTAAAGGTCTTCTAGATGAAGTGTCAACAATTGTTCCCCATGATCTGAAGAAACCTTAAAATTACTTAACAGCTTTATGGTTTCCACCCAATGTGCCACCCTTAAAGTTATCACTTCAATCCAAGGATCAAAATTTCATCACAGGCCGATACGTATCATATTGGAGCCTTCCTAAAACGCCCCTACAGGGGGCATTTTGGGTCAGCGAGTGGTTCAGGGGGTAGACTGGCCTTAAACCGGCCCCTCTGAACCAGTTTCGTAAAAAATAAAAAAAAAAACCGATACAGGCCGATACGCCCTGTATCGATATTTTGAACCTTGCTTCAATCACAGCTTCTTTTATTTCTTTCCTTGTCATAAAAAATCCTTAGGTTTCTTTCTTCCCAAATTGTCCAAGCCACAGCTGCTCTAGTGCATCTCCCCGTAATCCTGCCTCTTCTTTTAGAGCACCTAAAAATGTGAGAATTAAAGAAGCCTTTCAGATTATCAGGGGGAGTCCAGCTGCAACCAAACAGAGAGGAAAATCATTCCCAAATATAGTTAGCAAAAGGACAGGAGATTAAAAGATGAAAAGCAGTCTCACCATACAACTTACATTAGGAGCACCAGTTTGGGGACAAGCACCAATTTGGTCTTTTCCTCTGAAGCAGATACGCAAGTTTTAATGGAGCCATGGAACACTTCCCAACAGAAAGCACCGACTTTAGGAGGAATGGGCTGAAACCAAACCTCCTTGACAGGGAAAGAAGGAAAGGGGGAGGTAGCAATAAGAGAATTCAAAAAGGACTTGCAAGAGAAGGACCCTGACTGATTGAGTGCCCACACTCTAGAATCTGATCCACCATCCCCCAAGACCACTGAATTCAACAAGAGAATCTATTCACTGTTTTTTGTAGTTTTAATTAATGACCATAGAGCATTTTCTCATATCTTGTTTCACTGGTTTTTTGTCATTCTCAGTTTTCTTTCTTGATAAAGCTTGTAAATTTATTAACCTTTTGGGAAGGTTGGTTGGATCCTAACACAATATATGTAGTTCTCTTGTTAGGATATTTCCAGTAATTCCTAACATCATCAATACTCAGGACAAATGAAATGGCACTGAGTCATAAGCTGACAAGGCATGGCATTTTTACCTCATTTTGATTCACTCTTCCTCATTTTATGCAAGGTTCAAAAAATCGATACGATACGCCCCGTATTGGGCGTATCGTATCGTATCTTTCGGGTGAACAGGTGTTTCGGGACTCCACCCTTTTTAAACTCCCCAAAAACCAAATTTTGAAAAAAAAAACTAAAAAAAAATATTTGTGTGTATCTAAGTACCGATACGCAGAGGCGTATCAATACTTTGAACCATGATTTTATGTTTCCTGTTTCATCCTTTTTTTTTACATTAGTTCCATTTCTACCCCCTCCTCCTTCTGTCTTTCTCTCTGTGGCTTGTTCTGTTTATTATACATAGTATGTGTAGCACCACACCCCTTAATCCTGTGGTATCATATTTGCATTCAACCCAAAGTTGTCAGACAGGCTGTAGGTAAAACCATGCACTTAAGATCTTCTGCTCACCACACTGTAAAAACCTATGTAACCAATGACACGTGATGATAGGTTATGTAGCCTTTTATACTGTGGTGTGCTGCAGATCCTGGCTTAAAACCATGGTCATTGAATCATAGGTCAAATGGTTCAACCATCCTATTTGATCCATTGACATGCTTTAAAAATGTGGAAAATTTTAAAAAAGTCGACATTATCTTTTAATTAGCTTTTGCATCAAGATAAACTTAAAACAATAAATTCATATGAAGTTAGTTTATAGAGTTGGTGAACCATTTATTTCTCTACTGCAACTTTGCAACAAGTTTATAGGTACAATTGCTTCGCATTTTTGGGGTGCACGGTTACTTCCAGAAACCATGGAAGACTTCTTATGGAACTGGCATGTGAGATGACCAAGTATGAGGGGGATTTTATATGGGAAATATTCCCTTGCCTTTGGTGTGGACCATATAGTCAGAAAGAAATGCTAGGATTAATGAGGTCAGCCTTGCAGATTCAGTAGCCAAGGACTAATGGGGCAGGTTATACTCTTGGTTAGCAATCCATTGATAAAAATGCACTTTTTTGTAACCCAAAAGACATTTTGGTTGCCGGTTCTCAGTCCAAAGGTCCAGTCTTGTCCTGTTTGAGTCTGGGAATGCTGATTCTTCCTAGACATATTGCATACATGTTGTAATTGCCTTAAGAAATAGAGGGCCGTTGCCCAATGTTGGTCCTGGACTCATGGCTATAGGGATGGGCAGGATATGGACCTAACATTCGGTGTTTTTTCCACAAAAAGTGGCCAGTCTCAGTATAGGATCCATGTTCTCATACTTGTCAAATTTTACCATTCAATGAAGCCATGGCTCCCTTATTGTACCTCCCAGTCTTGCCTCAAGGCTAGACTGGCTAGTAAATATAATAGTTAAAATGAACTTGTTACCTTATAAACAATTATAAGGCATTTATCACCTTATTGTCTCAGTATTTTTGACAATAGATTGAAAATTCTAAGAGAATTATTGCAGAATGCAAATAGAACATAATTTGTGCATGCTGAGGTAAATTATACTTCATATTTAGAAGGAACTTGATCATATAAGGAGGCATTTTGAGGAATCTTTAATTTACGAAACCTTTCATCATCGAGTCTAGGCATCAAGTAATGTAGATATAACCACACCTCTGATTTCTGCAAGTAGCAAATCATTCACTTAAAAATACATTGTTTGACTTTTGAATTTTGATAAAAGAAAGAATTTTTGTAAAGCTTCCAAGAAAAAATGCCTGCTGAGAAATTTGATTATCTTCTCCATGTAATAGGGTCATGCTTTTTTATTCTCTCGTTCACTGCTGATTTTGACAAGAATTTGCTGTGGGCAAGCTGGTCTGTGTATTGTCCACTTGAAGCTTGAACACTTGAATTTTACGTGGGAACTTAAAGATTCTTTATATGGAATCATCTTATATTTATTAAATTTTTGCTTATTATTCTTTTCCAGGTCTACACACATGAGGAGGCAAATCAGCATTCAGGGGCATTTGTTTTCTTACTTGGCCAGCTCCTCTCTAGCATTCCATTCCTATTCCTCATCTCGATTTCAGCAAGTCTTGTCTTCTACTTTCTCATAGGACTGCGGGATGAGTTCAGTCTGGTGATGTATTTTGTGCTGAATTTCTTCGTGTGCCTTTTAGTAAATGAGGGGCTCATGCTACTTGTTGCTTCTCTTTGGAGAGAGCTTTTCCAGAGTGTTTTGACATTGTTGTTCATTCATGTAAGTGCAATACAACTTCCTTTTGACTTACTAGTGTTGTATTGCAATTGAACTTCAAAGGTGTGGGTGCTTATTTCTAACTTGGAGGAATTGTTTAATTTGTTATACTGTTCATTATTATAGTGATTAGTACAAGTTTTATTCTAACAAATGTTGCAGTTTGATATCTAAGCTATACTTGGTAGTTGAGTGTGTCTGTTGTTAGAAAATACATGCTATGTATACGCGAAACTATGTGAGAAAAGGATTGATGTGTATACATGAGACTTCAATTACATCCTAGTAATACATTGCAGCACATCAGGTTATCATATGTAAGGTTCAATGTATCAGTACACCCAATACATGAACATGTGTATCGTGTGTTTTGGGTGACTGATACACTTTTTTTATTATTTTTTTTGTTTCTTATTTTTACAGGTGGTTATAATACTTGTGTTTAACATTTAAAAACATCAAAATTTCAAAAATCCTGAAACTAAGTGATTTGGTGACCCTTTGGAACAACCCGATACAGGGGATATTGTAGCAATACTTTGAACCTTAATTATATGGCAGGGAGACTGCAGTGCCAAAGCAGCATCTTCAGTAGGGCTATGAATCTGTTTGTCTAAATTTGATCCAATTAAGGTGATCCCAATTTAATTGATTTGTAATTGGATAAAATATGGACACACCTAAGTCTGATCTGATAATATTTAAATATGTCTGCATATATCTACACAAAATTAATATGTATCTATTAGTAATGTCGGTTTTATTGTTGTACGTTTACTAGTGTTTAAGTCTTGTAATAGTTATTTTCAAGTCACTTTATTCTTGATATATGATATTAAAGTCATTTTTAGTTATTTTTATTAATAAGATATAATATTCTGATCATTTTTAGTTTAATTTATCAATGATGTTCAATATTTAAATCTGGTCGAAGTAAACTCAATGGATAAGGTATAATTCCAATATGAATATTAATGAATGAAATTTGCATTTGGGTATTCCTGATTGGATCCAATCCATTTGCATCTCTAATTTTCAGGAACTTGATCTGATTAGGGAGCATTGCTAAATTCATGTAACCTCTATTCTGGAGAGACCATCTCTAACAATTGGAGTCTATTAAGGAAAAAAAGATGACTAATAAAATGATCTCCATCTCATCTATAATTTCATTAATTCATCTTTGTGATGCTTTTTTTTTTCGAAAAGTGAAAAGATGTTGGTTGAGTTTTTAGTAGCTCTTGCAGTTGCAGAATATTTTTTATGTAGACCGGGACTTTCTACTGATTCAAACTTATTAGCTACTTGCCAGGCTTCCTTAATCCAATGTTCATATTTTTCAGGTGCTAATGATGCTTGTAGCAGGCTACTTTAGAATTCGCAGTGATTTGCCTGGACCAGTGTGGACCTATCCATTGTCCTACATTGCTTTCCATACATACTCTATCCAGGTAGACAGAGTGTCATGGTCTTTCCTGTTATTTCAATATTACCCTGTCAGATTAATGTTCAAATGTGTAACAAATCCATCACGGGGTTAGAGCTAATATCTTGGCTCTTGCCACAATAGCTGGTACTGATGAACCAGCTTTTTTTTTTAATTTTTTGCAAGAAAAGAAGTCAAGGACTCGGAATAAGAGAGTGGGAGGGGTATCTGCACCTAATCCAATGTAATGAAGTAATAAACCAGTCTTGTTATTATGACTCAAAAAAAAATGTAGTAATGAACCAGTGAAGTTTTGGCTCTAACCAGACCTAGCCAAGGACTCGGAACAAGAGAGTGGGAGGGGTATCTGCACCTAATCCAATGTAATGAAGTAATGAACCAGTCTTGTTATTATGACTAAAAAGAAAATGTAGTAATGAACCAGTGAAGTTTTGGCTCTAACCAGACCTAGCCAGCTTGTTGTCAAACGAACTATTTATAGGTGGAGGAGAGGTTTGTTTAGCTTAGTTTTCATCTGAATAGATTTGATTGTCATGTTTCATCTTTGCCTGTATTGCAGGGGCTTCTGGAGAACGAGTACATTGGGACTTCCTTTGCTGTCGGGCAAGTAAGGTCCATCTCTGGGGTTCAGGCTCTTCGTAGTGCATATGACATTTCTACCGATGGTAATGAGAAGTGGAAAAATTTGCTGTACTTATTTTCCATGGGAATTGGGTACCGCTTTGTTGTGTTTCTTCTGTTGTATTTCCGGTCAAGGAAGAATGCATCCACCTATAAGTTTTATGGGTCTGACAGGAGCACAAACTCAAGATGACTGTCTCTTGTATGCTACCTATTTGGGTATGTATCGAGTAATTTGGCCTTTGATCTGATTCTCTGATGCAAATTCAATATTAAAAATCTGCAATGGTCAGTTGTGCATCATCTCCCCTTGCATTTCAGTGACAAAATTCCGTTTGTCACTGTACATGATGTCAGGTTACCGAGTTGGCCTTATCCTTAAGCTCAGTTTGGACGGAGTACAAATACTAATATGTACTGTACAAAATACAAGGTTTTGCACTTTACATATTCGTATTTGTACTCCTTTCAAACTGAGCCTTAGGCTTAGTTTGGAAAGAGTACAAATAGAAATATGTACAGGCTTAGAAATATAGTATGCAATGTTTTGTACTTTTCATATTTGTATTTCCACTAGAAAGAGTACAAATACAAATATGCACAGTGCAAGGCCTTGTATTTTGTATATCTAAACCTGTATTTGCATTCTAGGAATGGCAACGGGTTGGGTATTTGTGTAAATTGCCCTACTCATTTCCAAACCCGCCTATGTGTCCCTGATTCCAAACTTGTATAACTTTTCTTCTCAATTTTCTAAACCCGTTCTGACCCGTTCCACCTTTTAAATCCCTTTTCCAAACGTTGTTTACTAAAAAAAAAGATTTTTAATGCTTATAGTGTGACTTGAACCCAGATCAATTAATGATAGCACCAAATCTCTTAATACTAATTTAAGTCATTAAGCCATCTTGCCTTTTATGTTATTTAATTTAATAAAATAGATTTCATTAACTTTTGTGTTCATCAAAATAATCAATACATGTATATGATTAACAATTTCAACTAAAAATAAAAAAAAAATAATATTTAAAATTAGTATTTTATAACTAAATGAAATAAACAATCTATCAAATCCAAATTTACATCAAATGATTTTAATCCCAAGAAATTTATACAAATAAAATATTAATAATAGAATAATTATCTTAGTACTTAAAATTTATAAATTTGTGCATGATATATAATGTAATAGGTTCATATTTATGCATCCCGGGTATTAGGTATTGGATACCCTAAAGTCGAAACCCAAACCCGTCTCAAACCTTGTAGGATTTTAATCTAAAATCCCAAACCTGCCCCAAACCCTATAGGGTTTTGATAAACAGGTCCTATTAGGGTCAAGATGGATTGGATATCCAAAAATTCCCATGAAATTGCCATCCCTATCTACATATTTGTATTGGTGCTCTTTCCAAACTGAATCTTATGCTGTGTTTGGTTGCAATGCAAATAAATTTGCACTGATGCAAAACTATGATTGTAATTGTGTAAATTCTGATATATTTTTGTTTCAAATTTTAGCTTATTTTGTTTGATTGCACTACAAATGAAGTAAATTAAGACATGAAGTAGAAAAAAGTAAAATCCAAAACAAAATTAAATAAGAATTTGCAATTTTTTACATTTGTACTAGTTCAAGTAAATTCGCACTGCAACCAAATACAGCCTTAAAAACTAAAAGAAGGGGTGGAAATGAATTTGGCTCTCCTGTGGGGCTCGGATCTGCTACCCACGTGCTGCTCCCACATCTATACGCAATTGACGTTACAGCTTCACATTGGGAACATCTTCATTGTTGCTCAGGGAGAAATGTTCCCAATGCACGGTGGTGGTGCTCTGTGGGTAAGGATGTAGGAATAAGTTGTGGGTACCGGGTAGTAGATCCAGAGTGTCTCCTGTAAAACGGGATCTACTCTTCACACATGGGCGCCTCACATGCACATCCATCATCCACTGGGAACATCTTCCGTAAATAATAACTTAGATATTCCGAATGCATGATGGAATGTGCCAGGTCGGTGTAAGACACCCTGTGTGACGAGCAGATCCGGTCTCGTCTCCTGTGTGATCTTTGTTCTGTACTTACCGACTCCGGCACAGGAGGCCCCCTTTTGGTTTATTGTGTTACCATCTTCACTCAGTTCGAACTTTGAATCTTGCCTAGACAACTGAATGTCATCTGGGAGTTTGAGTTTGTGACTTAGTTCTACTTGTAAGTTTTGTGGTTAAGGTTCAAGCCACATGTATTATTGCTGGGTTTGGGCTGAAATTGATTTGGGATATTAAGTTGTTAACCCGTCCTACTCATTGTTGAGGAGACATTTCAGCACTAGATTAAGTGGGCAATTAATTAGTTCAAGTAGCAGTAGTTTGTCATCTGTGGATGCGTTCCATTCTGGGTGTTGTGTTGATAAGCATATAATGGCGTATTCACTATTCAGCACTGTGGAAGACAACTTTTTAACAAGACACTGAAACTGATTGATGTTAGCTATCCCATTAAGATCACAATCAATTCTATTTCTGCCATCAATCCCTGACAAATCCTAAATTATTTCATCAGACAACAGACAAGAGCTACACATCACACATGCCAGAACCAAAACGCCATGATTACAAACCCAAAATAGCTGACGATATACCACCACTATGTCTTTACTTGATTGGATGAACAGCTGTGTGTTCCTTGAGGCCATCTCCAAGCTTATTGTAAGTTCTGGCCGTCAGATCCTCGATAAATTGATCCAAGTTTTTCTGTGATGATCCGTCCGGCATCAGTGCATTTTCCATTGCTTTCCTCACCTCCTTAATCTTGTTCATGCACTCATCTCCAAGTTTCCCGTTCACCAGAGCATCGATTTTCTGTGAGACTTCCTTCCGGCCGATCGACATTTTGTCCTTGATGTTCATCCCAATCCTCCAATCGTCAACAACTAATTTCCGATTAGTGAATTGATCAGTCAACAGAGGGAAGCACAGCATTGGAACTTGACACCAAATACTTTCCAATATCGAATTCCAGCCACAGTGAGTCAAGAACCCTCCAACTGCCGGATGCTTGAGCACTGCAATCTGATTGCACCACTGCACAACCTTCCCTCTATTCCCCATCTCCATCTGCTCCCCGAATCCATCAGGAAGTGGATCGGTGACGTCGGAGCTTATGATATCAGGTCGAAGCACCCAAACAAAATTAACTTTGCTGAGCAAAAGCCCATAGGCTATCTCCTCTATATCCTGTCTACCAACATGAGCATAGCTCCCGAACGAGACGTACAAGACTGACCCATGAGGCTTTGTGTCAAGCCAGTGGGCACAGTCGGACTCCGACCACAGGCTGGTGGCGACGGTGCTCTTTGTGAAACCACTTACGAAGATGGGTCCAATCGCGTAGAATGGCTTCTCGACCTGTAGAGCCGAGATGGTCTCCGGTTCGAGCTCTTGTATCGTATTACAGACTACAAAATCCGCATTCTTGACGTCCTCGAATGCCTTGAAGATCACCTGGTGCACCACTGACGATGTATCAGTCTCTTGAAGGTATGACATGAGATCCGTCGGCTCGATGGCCGGCACGCCGGGTATGTAGTTTATGGTGTCGTCGCGCTTGCCTGCTCACGAAATAAATTACACAATTACCAGATAAAGAGATTATAATACACAGAGAGGAAAGCTGATTCAGTCACAGACGTACTGTTGCAATCAAAATGGCCGTTCATGCGTAGAAGGTTCATGTGATAGTAAAGAGTAAACACCAAAGCTGGTTCGGTCCAGAAAGAAACATAAGCAAGGCCCAACTTCTTTGCGATCATCGACGGCCACACAAAGAACGTATCGGCAATCAAACAGGTGGCCGGAGGCGGAAGGTCAGACATGACGATGTCTCGAATGAGTTCCTCGGCATGGGCCGAGGATACGTGGAGGAGAGAATACATGAATTGGTCGTGGTTGAGTGATCGGTCGAAACCAATAGGGAGACCGTCACTTACAGTTTTGTAACGGATGTCGAGACCCGATTTACGGGCACCGGCGAAGATGTCGCCGCCGCTATCTGGTTGTGCTTTGGTAGTCTGGTGATGGATTGATTGGGTGTTTATGAAGGTGATGGTGAATCCTTTGGATGCAAGATTCATGGCTAGGTGGACTGCTGGGATTACGTGGCCTTGAAGCGGGAAGGCAATAAGGATGGCATGAGGTTTTTGGTCACTGCCCACCATTGTTTTTCTTTGCAAAGTTGCAGAACAAGAGGAGGTGGAGCAACAGAGAGAGAGAGAGAGAGAGAGATTCTTGGAGTGTTCCGGCAGATGTTGTTTGTTAAGGTTGAGAGTTAAGATATATACAGCGCAACTGGTTTAACGCTGTTAAGTAACCCAAACCAGCACTAGTGATATAACCAGAGTTGGTTAGCAGTTGCATGTAACGACAATGGACCGATGGAGCGGATGAATCTTTTAGGTGATGTTTGGCATGATGATTGATTTTTCCTTTGGCTCAGTTTGGACAGAATACAATGCAAATAAATACAAAATATAAGGTTTTGCACTTTTATTTGTACTCCTTCCAAACTGAGCCTTATGGTTCAGTAAATGAACACAAATTTACCTTATTATTTAAGAAATTAATTACTTAAATTATAACTTATAACGAAAAGATAAAAAGACTATTTTACCCTTAATTTTTGTTCAAATTTTCAAAATATAATATTTCTTCTCGGCCTAGATCTATCTGCCTTAACAACTCTAAATCTGAAATCCCAAAATCAATAATATCTCTAGAATCTTTCTTAAAACAAGCAGAGTTCGGTTGCATAGTCATACTAACGATTTGTTATTCTAAGCTTCCGCAATAAGTCCACGCACATACAAAGCCCACAACCTACACAGTTCTTTGAAATTGAATTGAAACCTTTTCACTTTCCCGTAAACTCATCCCAAAAAACCAGAAACCGGTGTCAACATCTTCCGGAGCTGCAGCAGAATCATTTCTTGGTCTTTCAACCTACAATAACAGAGAAATGCCTTCTCTAACTCTCGTTCCCTCTCCCGAGTAGCAACTACCCAGTTCTTTAGGCGTGAAAATTGATCTTCAAAATCAGGCCCATCTTGAATTACAGAGCTCCTCTTCTTCTCTACACTATAAAGGCATCAAGTTGAGGTTATGAAGGTTCTCCCCATCGCAAAGTTCATCCAAGTAATTATCAGTTTCAGACAAATTCTCTTCAATTTCTTCTGAGGAAATTCTAGAAATAGTCTTCTTCTTTTTCTGATGATTCCATAAACGAATCCAACAAAAGAAAGAGCTAATGAGATACCAGCTTTGAGATATATGGGCTTTACCCCCATCCCCAAGTTGAACGATTATGTCTGCAATCTGGGTTGTTTCATTTTAACGATCAGAAAGGCAGAAACCCAATTAAGCCAAACAACGAATTTCACAAATTGAACAGTGGGATTTAATGTTGAATACAAAACATGAAGTCTTATATAAATTACACAAAAGTACCACCCAATCCCATTTTCTCATTGCATGTTATGGTAAGGGATATCTTTGTCTAAATAGCTTGAAGAGGATAGGGGTGCTCTCTCAGCGCAGGAAATTGAATCTACAGTAATTAATTATTGTAATTTAATAATTAATAATTATTACTGTTATTATAAATTATTGTAATTTAATAATTACTGATTGTTACAGTGATTTAATAAATATATAATTAGTGACTATAAATAGATATTTGCTTTAACTTTACTTCAAATTAAAATTATAAATACTGTTAATAAATTTAGTAATTATTGTTATATTAAAAATGTTATTAAAAGTATTGTTATTGATTATTTAATAAAATATTATAATTACTGACTATTACTGATAAATACTGTTAATTTAATTTAATTTTGGTAATTATTAATTTAATGAATATTGTTAATAAATCCTATTCATAAATTTAATATTTATTGTTATATTAAAAATAACTAAATAAAATTATTAAAACTATCATTAATGATTATTTAATTAAATAGTACAATTACTTACTATTATTGATAAATGTTAATAATGTTTTGACAACCAATGGTTCGACCGTCCGGTTCAAACGGATGGCCCGTTCTGACAACAAAAATTATAAGCAAAAAATTACGGAACCTTTCTGGCCACCGGTTTTTGGGTTAACGGTTTGATCTTCTGGTTCGAACGGATGGTCCACTCTAACAACAAAAATTATAGGCAAAAAATTGAGTTTGTGAGGTCCATTAAGTAGTATCATACGTGTTATGTCATTTGAGCGTGACTCATACGACCTAAAAACGAAACCGTTCTGGCCATCGGTTTTTGGGTTGACAGTTCAACCATCTGGTTCGAACGGACGGCCCACTCTAACAACAAAAAATTACAAGCAAAAAGTTACGGAACTATTCTGGCCACTGGTTTTCGAGTCGGCGATTCAATCGTCCGGTTCGAATAGACGACCCATTCTTACAACAAAAATTACAAGCAAAAAATTGAATGTGTGAGGCCCATTAAGCAGTAACGTACGTGTTATGTCATTCGAGGGTGTGACTCATACAACCCGAAAATGGAACCCCTTTGGCCACCAGTTTTCGAGTCGACGGTTTGATTGTTCGGTTCGGATGGACAACCCATTCTGACAACAAAAATTACAGGTAAAAAATTGAGTGTGTGAGGTCCATTAAGCAATATCATACGTGTTATGTCATTCGAGCGTGTGACTCATACGACCCGAAAATGGAATCATTCTGGCCACCGATTTTTGGGTTGATGGTTTGACCGTCCGATTCGAACGAATGACCCGTTCTAACAAAAAAAATTAAAAAAATATATAAAAATGGCAAAAAACCATTGAACAGGTCAACAGGCTAACGATTCGACCACTCGGGTCAATGGGTCATTGACCGATTCCACGTTTTTTTGCCAGGGACGGGATTGGGGTAAAACAGAACTGGTTGCCTAGACGGTTCCTAATTAAAAAAATAAAAAAAAAATGGATGATCCGTTCTGACAAAAAAATTATAGGCAAAAAATTGAGTGTGGGTCCATTAAGCAGTACCATATGTGTTATGTCATTTGAGCGTGTGGCTCATACGACCTGAAAACGGAACCGTTCTGGCCACTAGTTTTTGGGTCGACGATTCGAATGGATGGCTCGTTCTGACAACAAAAATTAAAAAAAAAATAAAAAATGACCAAAACCATTGAACGGGTCAATGGTTCGACCGCCTGGGTCAATGGGTCATTGACCGATTCAACGATTTTTGGCAAGGGACCGAGATTAGGATAAAATGGAACCGGTTACTTGGATGGTTCCCAATTAAAAAATAAATAAAAAAAAACAGCCAAAAACCATTGAATGGGTCAATGGGTTAACGGTTTGACTGCTCGAGTCAATGGATCGTTGACCGATTCAACAGTTTTTGGCTAGAGACTAGGTCAACAGGTCAACGAGTTGATGATTCAATTCCAGCCCCTGCAGGTCCCTCCGCTAGTTTAATATAATAATGCCATGTGATAGCGCATACTAACCGATATTAATGGGGGAACTGAGGTAATATTTGCCAATTGTGAGAAATGTCCGAGGTATTTTAAGTAATTTCTCAAACAGTAGGGTAAGTTTGTATACATTTGCTAAAACATAGGGGGTATTTAAGTATTTAACCCTTGACTTATTTGGTATCATTTCTTAGAGGTGTAAAATGGGCTATATCGGGCTGGCACGGCATGGCTTGCGGGAGGCTTGTGGGTCGTGCTGCCCTCCTCGGTGAAAAATTTGGGGATCGGCCTGGCACGGCCCACAACCTAGGCCCATGGGCCAAGCCTTGGCCCAAATCAAGCCATGGACCGCGCCAAAGCTATTTTTGCCTATTTATTTCAAAAAATTGAAAAAAAAACTTAAAATTTTAATTTTATATGAATTTTGATGTATACAATTGCTTATGTATACAATAATTAAATAAATTAGTATAATAAAATTGAAAACAATTGTTTATTTTATTAATATATTATATACTATATATTATTATATAATTATAATTTATATAATATGTTACATATTATATATATATATATAAATAGTATATATGGGTTGTGCTGGGCCAGGTTGCGGGCCCATGGGCGGCACGGCCCACTTGGTCGCCTCGTGCTGTGCTGGCTTGTGGACTTTGAACCCCATGCCCAGCATGGCACGGACCATCGTGTCGGGCCTGACACGGCCTGTGGGCTATTGTGCCAGGTCGTTTGCGGCACGTCTCGATTTACACCTTTATCATTTTTGCCATGTAGTCTGGTTTTTGAGAAATTGGCTTTAAGTGTGTTTGGTATTGATTCTCAAGGGTCAATTATTTTTGTATTATGTCATCCTCATAAAATAGGAATCAGCTAGACATTGATTTTTGTATCAATCAGGTAGAGATTGATTTTTGTATTAGAGTTAAAAAGGTGATCCTCTCAAAAGGGATGATTTCAAGAATTGATTTTTAGTTGATCCATGTGAAATGTATCATAAGATGGAGCTAACGAAGGACGTAGTCATCCATTCAGGAGTCGGGATGAGTTGGAGAGAAAATCAAGCACAATGAGCCGGGCTACCTATCAAATGGAGCCCATATGGGACCGAAATGGGATTTGCACCTCATAGAGTGCTCCTCACTAGGGTTGTCAATGGTATTCGAAAATCTGATTTCGAATATGAGATTCAATATAATCGAATCAAATTTGGATAATTCAAATATCTAATCGGTCGAATTTGGATATGACCTGATTCTATTCAACAAATATCTGAATTCGACTGATTATTTAATTCTTATATATAATGTTTAAATATTTTATATATAATAATTAAATTATATATTTATATAAATAAAAAAAAATATTTTATATATTTATTAATTTCCTAAAATATTAATTAGTCGAATTTGAATCAAATCGAATTCAAATATTAATTTTCAATATCCATCATATATCAAACTGAATTTGGATATCACATTTTCTAATCGGATTCGGATTCGGATATTACCTATTTCAATTCAAATTCAATCTGTTGATACCCTTATTCCTCATACCGACCCAAGGTTCAAAATATTGATATGCCCCTGTGTATTGGCAAGGGTGTATTGGTACTTAAATTAACACGCTTTTATTATTTTTAGTTTTTCTTTTCAAAATTTGGCTTTTGGGAATATTTTTAACCATATTTTTTTTTATTAAAAAAGAGTGGTTCCCAAAACACTTTTAAATAGGTGTATCGTGAAGCTATTGATACAATACAATATGCTTGATATGGGGCGTATCGTATTGAAATTTTGAACCATGCACCAATCTCACAGCCACATCCGACCATGTATTGGGAACATTTCCCTTGAATAATAGTGTACAAGTACGAGAGATGTTCCCAATATGTGGTTGAGACATGTTGTGAGGTCCTTAATAAATCCCAAAATATTCAGGATGTGAATATAT